CATGTTTTTCAAGCATCAATATGACTAATGGTAAGCATTGGGGTGGAAAGTGGTATGGCACTATTATACCCTTTTTTTGCCATGTGTCACTAGATATTAGTATGTGAAATAGATATATTATGTGTATCTTGAATTCAAACTGCAAGTTGGCGTGTTGTAATTGCAGAGTTATGGTGAACTAATTGCCCGATTGACTGCAAAACTGTTTGTGTAACCTTAGAATGGTGACCATTACCACCAATATGTTTAAAAGTACCTTTTTCTTTGAGTTTTTTGATATTTTACTGAATGGTATGAAGGGAGATCTTTGTTTTTTCATGTATTTCTTTGGCAGTACAAATTCCATTTAGCCAGTAATGTAGAATTGTTTGACGTTGCACCTCAAGTTCTTTATTGACCATGTTTGCAAGGTTTAAACGAAGTAAACAATGAAGTAGGAAGATTTTCTTTTTGTAAAGATGATTTAAGAGAAATGAATAAACATTTACAAAAATGGTAATCATGTAAACAATGTATTTTTTTATTTATTATAAAAACCAATTTTATAATTCACGCGCAATTTTTTTCGCAACACACTGTATACTAATGAATTATTTTTGTTTTTTGGATTTTGTGTAATGTCACAATGACATCTAACATACAGATTATCCAACCTCTTATAAATAATAATTTAGTCAACAGTATTGTCAGAGTTTCCTTGTTACATATTAATATATTGATGTTTTTGAAAAAGAACATTGAATGCAAATTTCCATATAATATATACCACAATGATGTTTAACATTATGTCTGATTTATAATTCATTTTTATAAATCATTTTTATAAATCATTTTTATAAATAATAATTCAAACAGTTTATTGGAATTAATAAAAAAATAAAATTATTTTTTTATCATTTATGTAAATTAAATCGATAGGGAGAGATTTAGTATGGTATAACTCTTGCAGAACATATGGTATGGTATGGTATAGCCCATATTTTTCCATACCAAGTCACAAAATTTTATTCTAAATCCTTTTTTGGTGGGTGTGAGGGGAAGTATGTTAGATTTAAGCATTGGTATACAACCATTTTATTACACTTATACAATACCATACCATATGTTTTGCAAGAGTTATACCATACTGAATGTCCTTATACTCATATTATAGTAAAACATAGTGAAAGATAATTTAGAAGGTAAAATCTGTAAATATACATATTATCATTTTTACACACAATACCCTGACACATATATTAATGAACAAATTTACCAAATTTATCTTTTATTATTGTAAATGTTTTATAGATGATAAAATGGACCAAAAGATTAAATAATATATAAATACTTGAGTACAAAAATTCTATTAAAATGATGAATCACTTCAATCACAAAGAGTTTACTCTAATTAAATAGATAAACAAACACAAAGTATATAATATCTTGATTAATCATTAAAAATTTTTTTGATGATAACAAGAGGTGCTTGTTCATCATGCAACACTTCCTAAGATACTAGGTAAAAATTCAATAATGAGATAAATAAAATATATTCATAAATCATCTGGTATAGT